GCCCACCAGAGGAGTGTTCGTGGGCTTCAACTCGCTTCTCTGCAACTGAAGTTGGTCAAATGCCGACTTGAAGAGAATATCCGTCGAGCTGCCTGAATCCACAAGTACGCGCCTGACTTCGAAGTCGCTGATCCTTAGTTTTATGACAAGCGCATCATCGTGGGGGTAGTGGATCCCTCGCACATCGTCTTCCGTACAACCTGCTACCACCGAACCTCCCACTATCGCGTGGATGGTTCCCCGAACTGGCCTCTCTTCCGGAGGCTGTCTTTGCGATGGTTCGGCTGGCTTGCTGCTGGATTCGGGGGCATCCCTTCCGTGCTCCCCTTGCTGACCTGTCTTATTATTATTATTATTATTATTATTATTATTATTATTATTATTATTATTATTATTATTATGCTGTACAAAATTTCTCAAGTACCCGCGGCGGATGAGTCCCTCTATCTCGTCCCGGAGATTATTACACTGTTCGGTACTATGACCGTGATCTCTATGGAAACTGCAGTACAAGTTTTTATTTCTCTCGTTTGGGTTCCCTTTTAGGCGAGGTGGCCATTTTATGTATGGGGCGTCTTTGGTCATCATCAAGATCTCGGTCCGCCTCGTGTTTAAGGGTGTGTAGTCCGTCCGAGTTGCTAAGGTAGCTCGGAACGGCTGGGTCGGCTTCGTCTCCCGGGCTGGGTTTTTTCTTCTGTCATATGGGTTGGAGGGTTCACCTTCCCTCTTCCTCTTCTCGATCCCGCTTTCGGTTCTTTGGTTGATCTCTTCCTTTGTTCTCATGAACTTATCCGCGAGCTTGAGGAATTCGGCTACGGTCGCGAGATGGCTAGCTACCATGTGCCATTTTAACTCCTTGTGCGTTACTCCTCTCTTGGCCGCCGCGAGCTGCACTGCGAGGTCCAGTGCTGTATCTGCAAGCACGCGTCATTGAACCGCTTGATGTAGCGCCGGATGGACTCTCCTTCCCTCTGGACTACTCCGAAGATGCTTTCCTCGGTTCAGGGGCACTGCTTGCTGGTAACGAAGTGTGCGGTGAAGACCTGCACGAACTGGGTCCAGCTTCTTATTGACTCGGGGGCCAGGTTCCTGTACCAGGTGCGGGCCACCCCCCTGAAGGTGGTGGTGAAGGCCACGCACATGCACGATTCACTGGCCCTAGCTAGGTGCATTTGGGACTGGAAGGCATTGACGTGGTCGTTGGGGTCGAAGGACCCATCATACTTGTCTAAAGGGGGGAGTTTGAAGTCTCCGGGCATGGGGACTGCAAGGAGTTCTGATGAGAGAGGGGAAGGAACTGAGAGAATAGGGGCAACTTTTACATCGTTCGAGCTTGTCTCTTCTTTACCTCTGAGCTCGGGCAGGACACGGGTGGCAGTTCGGCGACTTCGTCGGCGTCTTCGTTGCTGAGTGGGCCTGGTACTGGCGCTGCTGGCCTCTGTGTTGCCAAGCTCGATGGGCCCGGACTGTTGATAGTCCGCCGCTAGGACGCTGAATCGGTTCTCTGTCAGCGGGAGCTCAGACTTGGAGTGCCGAAGTACTGACATGGCGGGCGAGGTTCCCAACCCGCTGGCGAGCTGCGAGGCGGGGGTGATTTTTCTTTCCCCTCGGCCCGGGGATGAGGCCTAGCTCTTGGGGGGGTTTTGAAGTTGGGAGGCTTCTCTTCGGTGATGGCGTCCACCCTTAGGGGAGGGCTTAACCGGCTTTGGAGCAGGGTGCCGAGGTGGAAGCWGTGGTTGGTTYAGAGGCAGTTGGGGGAACTGCTGCTGATAGTGATACTGAGAGATGTGGTGCAGTACTTGGTGCTGCTGGAGCGGATGCTGCTGGAACTGCTGCATTTGGGCTTGCATTGCCTGCATGCACTGCATCAAGTCATCAAACTGGTTCTGGCTAGTCGCCAGGGGAACAACAGTTAGTTCGGTAAAGGTTGTCTCAACAGGGAGAGAAGGAAGGGGGATGTTCACGGTGGGAAAGGCAGGAAGGTTCACTGGCGCCACTGTTCGTGGCGCATTCAGGCTGTGGGTCCCATCCATCGGAAGGGGGATGGTGAATTGTCCGATGCACACCACGGGGACTTGAAGTTGTTCCCTGGTGGCGTTCATCTTCGTGCCACGTCCGACATTGCTGGAAGAAGCCATGAGTGTTGGGGTTTCTTGGAAAAAAGGGGTTATGGGAGTTTTAGAGGGAGGCTTTTAGAAGCGTTTCCCACAGACGACGCCAATTGATGGTGCGCAATCCGACCGGTCCTAGCTGTCAACGATCTTGCCTTGGGCTGGAGCAGAAGGTGCCTGATACGGAGGAGAAAGCGAGTAATCTCCGGGGAAGAACCCGATGAGAATGCTCTGAAGCTCAAGTTAGTATTTCCTCAAAGGCAAGATAAAAAATCAGATGGTTTAAAGTTACCACATACCTCTCTTCTTGGGGGGAAGGGGGCCTTTTATAACCACTTCGCGCACTCACTCCCAAGCTTTTGTCAGGTCGAGTATGATTACCTCTGCGCTTCTGCCAGTTCGGGTGTCATCACCTTTGCTGAGGCAGAACCGCCACTGCTCTCTTTGTCGGAGCCGTCTCTGTAACTGGAGATGGCGGTGGCAGGTGGCGGTGGCAGGTGGCCGTTGAAGTGCGGCTGTCAAGCGTCAGTTCCCAAGTCAGTCAGGTGCGCCGCCTCAGGATACGGACTCCTTTGGTGTCAAGTACGGTATGGTTGTTCAGTTTGGCGTCCTGGGGGCGAAGTGCTAGAGTGGTGTGCGAGGTGGTCTTGAGTTCGGCGTCCATGGGCGGGCCAGTTTGGATTGTTGCCCTTTGTGTTCGTAAGGCTCGGGGTCAAAGGGAGAGCTCGGGCTCCTTGTGGGGAGTTCGGACCGCGGGTTCCTCCTTTCGGAGCTCGCACCTTGGGCGTACTGTTGTGCTGAGCTGTTGCCTTTTCCACGTGTTGAGTAGTTACAAGGTCGAGCCAAATCTTCTTTCATCAGTATTCTTTTCAAACAGAGCCATAGTGAAAAAATTAATAATAAGAATACGGGAGTTGTAGTGACACAGAGATGAGAGATAGGGAATTGATTACCTTCGCACCATATGACTGCTAGAAAAAACACCGGTGCCGGAGGAGTGGATTCCAAGAGAGAGGGTTGGGTGGGAATGGATCCTTGCTACCTCAGCATCATAAGAGTAGAGTTTGTGCGGGAGGATAGCTGTCCCCATTTCATTGTATGGGGCGTTTGTTCTACACCAGGCCATGGGAGAGATCAGCTTCTATCAGTGCAAACCTGTGCCCATATATTTTAACAGCCTTTTTCAACCTTGCATTGGAAATATCTCCTTATGAAATAAAGTACAAAGTACAGGAGATATTATACATGCAAGGCAGTAAAGGCTGCTGGAACAGGCTTTGCCCTGTCTGAAGCCAACACTAATGTGAAATCAATACAAAGTACAAGAGATGTTCTAATGCATGGCCATAAGATTTTATACTATAATTCACATATGCACCTCACTTAGCATGCCTAACAATACATCCCAATCGTGTAATGGAAGCATCTCCCAACAACAACTTGGAGAGATGTTACAGAGCCTTGTGGTCAGCAATGAGCAGATCCGGCTTTCCATTAAACTGCATCATGTTTGCATAAGACAACATTATATCGCTTTTCTTTGTAAAAGAGGAAATTCCAACGTTAGTATCAGATGCTTCCAATTAAACCACCCAAAATCACTAGGATTCCTCGGTGGGAAACGCGATTCCATGTGAGCAAGATTAATCGAAGGAGTTCAGATCTGCTACCAATAAAGCTTCCAATACTATTCGTCTATTCCAACAACAACAAGTACATAAGGAACATCTCTAATGAATGGTGAATGTAAGAGAGGAATACAGATCATCCGTCAATAAAATATATTTCAATAACATACCAACATAATCTTACATTGCACATCTCATACATGGTGGATCTCAGTCTGATGGTGAGATGTCATTGGTAGAGGGTTAGAACATGTTTTGTTGACAGGAAGATTTCAACTCCTAAGAGAGATGTTATCAATGTACAATTGCAGTGGTTAGTTGGGAGAGTGTTGGAAACATTTTATTGGAAGCATATCACTACTCTAATTTTTTTTTTGGTAACTATCCTTATTCCAATCGAATACCTTGTTAGTAGGGATGCAAACAAATCATATCATATTTGTATTAGGGTATATTCGATTCCGATCTAATATTGTTCATGCTAGTTCTGATTCGATCTGATAGGACTCGATTTTAATTCAAATCCTATCGGATCTTCAAATTTGATTTGATTTGACTAGTTTTCTTTAAAAATTAATAAATTATTAGAAAAAATAAAATATATTAATTTAAATAAAGTAATGCCAAAAAAACAAGTTTTTTTTTTAAATTATTTTCATTATATACATGTTTTTTATAAAAAATAAAAAATATAATAAATTTATAAATAAATAAATAACATATATATGTGTTATATATATTTATAAATATATAACATATCACATCAGATAAAGGATGATCCAAATCCGATCCAATATTTGATCGGATCCAATTATCCAATCCGATCCAAAGATGCAAATAAAAAATGAACCGAATTCGATCGAATAGTATCAGATCCATTTGCAACCCTACTTGTTAGCATTGACGGTTCAAAATTTCCATTCTTTGTTTATTTATTTTTCTCAATTATTGATAGTAACGGACTACCGTAGTCTATATTTCTAATTTAATCACAATAATAATATTTTTTGGCTTTTGCTGCTAATGGAACCTAGTTATGTAGTAGATTAATATCGTGGGGTCCTTGATTTGAGTCCAATATGTCTAAAGAGTGTTATTGGTACGGTAGTCGGTAGATTGATGGAGGGGCGTGATGTCATTCTTATTTTGTCTTAAATTATTAATTATATTATGGTTTTTGGAAGCTTTTTTTTTTATAAATATATATTGTTAATTATATGACGAAACTGTAGTGCACCTTACTCGAATTTTATTTCAATCCGTCACCAGGTTCAATTTTACGGAGTACTCCTGATGCATCCTGACCGTGAATTTGACATCAATTCACGGTCAGGATGCATTCCCCCTGTCACCAGGTTCATTTTACTCCGTGTGTGTTTTACAGTTTTTGCTTTTATCGGCGGAATTTCGAACGCCAAGGAAAGAATCGAAGCATTCGAACAAAGTCGAGAAATTTCGGTTTCTGTTGGGGGTGATCGATCGTCTCTGTCTTTCTCAAGGTATTCTTCTTAAGCTTATCTCCCCCCCCCCTCTCTCTCCGTCTTTTGTTGCTTGCTCATGTTCTGATGTGATTTTCATTTTATCTTGGTCCGTGGAAAATTCTGATGATACCTAAGCTTGCAAGTTTAATATGGGTGTCTTTTGTTTCTTTGGTCTATGTGTAGTTAATATATCTATGGGGCCTATATCTATTCATTCTGTTTTTGTTCTTCCAATGGAGCTTCTCTTTTCTTCTCTTCCTCTCTTCCTCTCTTCGAAGCTCGTTTTTATTGCTGAATTACTCGTATGGGAGAACATGCTTTGTTTCTCAATGAATTTTCCCCTTTCATTGATGTGTATGCAAATAATTCTGATTTACGCAGAAGATTCAGTTATGAACTACGAAGTGTATGATGTATCTGTTGGAACTTGTAAGTTGCGAAATCTAAGAAATACGTAAAATTTTTCGTGTGCGTTGGCTTTCTTGTTTTCTGGTGGACTTCGTTTTTGTTTTTGATGACTCTGTATCCGTATTGTTATAAGCACTTCCTTTGTTTTTGATTTCTAGAATTTTATGTATTTTTTGCATGTAACTTTTTTATTCTTTTTAAGAATGATAGTTATATATGACTGTTGTTGATGACTTTTGGTTTTGATAATTGTTTTGAGTATTCGATATAATTATATGTCTTCAAATTGGTTTCTACAAATATGTTTAACTCATTGAGCTCTAGCTGCGCAGCATTTCAGTAAGACAAACATTCTTCCTTTCTGATATTATTCTTCTGGGACTTATTCTTATTTACAGGTGAAGGAAAATATTCAATTTGTCAATTGCCCTGAATTTCCAAGGGTTACTGATTTTTCAAAGAGGTTCTGCTTTCTCTTGTTATAAGAGAGAGGGTACTGGCTCGTGGAGAACTTGATTCCTACGAGCTTGGCGTCCTCTCTCGTATTACATTATCTTCATACCCTTGAAGCAAAGAAACCCGTTTTCTTTTTCTTGACGAGTGTGTCTAATATATTGGAATTTTGTGAATGAGATTGGAGAGGTATCTTGGAGGCTCTAAGGTAGAAAGGAAATCAAAGCCGCATTATGGGTTCTGTATGCTGCTGCTTGCATGTTGAGGATTTTGAAGAATATGTAAACCCGTCAGTTCGCAGAAACTGTATCTGCCTCAGATGCTTTGTTCAGAATTTCTTCAATGTAGTATGTTTCAGGGATCTTAGTTTTCTTTTTTATACTGTTCTTTTTCTTTATTTTTTGATCAATACTATTACATTTATCTTGTGAAAATAATTTGGTTGAATTCTTTAATCTCTAGATACATACTAGTTGGATTATACACATTTAGGTGGTGCTCTAGTTTGTTCATATCATCTTGGCTACTGTTATACTTCCTCATAGTTCTAGCATGGGAGCTTTCATCAAGAATTAAGAATGACACGAGTATCCAGTCCTTTTATCAAGTTTTTTTCTTCTTTCTTCCATTACTCTCATATTATAATCCAAACAGAAATATGAATTAATGGTCTCAACTGCCTAGGGAATATGTAATTTATATCATAAATTCTCTTGAATATTTGGACTATTCTAATTGTAGTTGGAGATTTGGAATAGCTTGTAGGCTCTGTCATATCCGTAATTGGAGATTGGCATTTTACAGACTGTTCTGCATTTACAAAGGGTTTTCAATAACTTACTTTCGGAATTACAGATTATTGGGAAGTAAATTTTTATGTGGAACTAATTTAGCTATGCTTGATTAAAAACATCAGAACTACATTAGGGGCAGGTGTTACACCACTTTCATATGGACACTTACAAAGTTTCCAGTTTTTAAATTTGCTTCTTATTGTGTCTTATCCCATGCTTTCTGTTCCCGTAAACTTTACTTAGTCCCATGTATTGTTTCCATGGTTCTTTTTTTAATTAAAATTTTTGCTCATCCTTTTGCTCATCTTTGACAGAGTTGGTGAAATCTAGTCCTCTAGGTTTCAAATTTTATGATATCCCAAAAGATTCATATGAACTAGTGGTGGGATTTAGGGCAAAAATGCTAGAAAGCCTGTTATTACTGAGTTCAAATGTGCTTGTTCACATGTTCAACAGTTTAGGATGGATAAATTATGTAGAATAAGTTGGATACTCAAGTTAGGCCTAGTGTTGATTTGTAGAGAAAAACATGTGTTAATCCTAGTTTGTAGACTCAAGCCTGTTTAATCATAAGCAAGCTTGTTTTATGGATGGTCAAGTTATATTGTCATGTAATTATGGTGGACTGGAAATGATGTAGGCCAATCCAGTAATGAGGAAGTGAAGTTTGAATCTCATCTATGATTCCTTTTATTTATTTATTTATTTGTTTGTTTGTTTTCTTTGCCAATATTCACCAAGTAATGTCTTTTCAATTTTTCCTTCTCTTCTCAATGACTCTCTGTAGTACACAGCATTATTCCAAAGAGGGGAAGTGCATGCTCTGCCTTCATCAATTCAGGGAGCTACATCTTTGACTTCTTCAGCATCCCTTGATAATTCTCTTTGTGACATGTACCGTTCTCCTCCAAGGCCCTTGCCTTATGATTCTGATCCTAGATGCTTCCGTTCACAACAAGATGGATTGATCTCCAGACATGAGAAGGGATCAAGTCATTTGCATGAGGAGTCTGAACCACTTAGAAGTGATGCTGATACAGGTCTAGAATCACCAAGCATTGCAGACAAAGGGAATGGGTCTACTTATGAAAAGAGATCAAAGGAGTATCCTTCAGAGTCCTCAGTGAAAAATCCACTGGAAAAATTGACTAGTGGAATTGGGTATATTTATTCATCATCAGAAGACGATGATGTCTGTCCAACGTGCCTTGAGGGTATGTCTGCAATCCCTCTTTTTTCTTTCATTTTTACTTTCTTTTCTTTTTCTTTGCCCCCATTTTCTTTTATGGATTTAAGTCAGACATCCTACACTAGTTGGGAGTGGAGCTGTTTTCATTGTTTCTGTTCAATTTGTAATTAACATATGAGAGTTTTTGTGTCACTTAGGAAGTTTTCATGCTTTTATGATACCAGGAAGTTGATAGTTTTGGTAGGGATTTGCATTATATTTTTGTGTACTTATGGAAGTGAAAGCTTCAAGTTTATGTGGTTAGGCCTTTTCTACCCCTGTTTATTTATTTATGTTTTTCTTTTCAGAATATACTTCAGAAAACCCCAAGATAATTACCCATTGCTCCCACCATTTTCACCTTGGTTGTATATATGAATGGATGGAGAGAAGCGAAAACTGCCCTGTCTGTGGCAAGGTAACATGTTTCTTTATCATGTCTTGTGCACTTGTTTGTTCATTCATGCACAATGATTTTTTATCATCTGGACTTCTGGAGTATTAGCTGATTTCCTTGTATGTATATTGCCAAAACAGTGTCAAAGACAAACCTTAAAAATCTTAGCCCAGTCACTCAGTCAGCAAGGCCAAACTTTTCCAGTATCAAAAAATACTGGAGCTTGTAAACTATGTGCAAGTCTGGTCTTGTATCAACTGATTTGGTTTGAGCTGGTTTGTTAGTTGAGATAATATTGCCAAATCATGGAGGCCATAATTAAATTGTTGAGATGATGGTACATAATGTGAGTGATTGGTGTTGCACCCTCTGCTGTCATAAAAGACAAGGGTAAAAAAAACTAGATGAATCCTAGGAGGTATCTTTGGAAGAGTTAATTGCACTTGCACATCTTGCTGTATGAGTAGTAGAATTTGACAAGTGCAAGGTATTTCTCAATCAATCCAGGAAAATGGCAATCTTGGATTTGGTCTTTATTTATCAATGTTTTTTTTTAACAGATAATTGTCTTATTGCAAAAGGTTGAAACTGTTTACATTATAGAGATGACTTTTATCTCTTGAAAAGTTTCTCATGTGGCAATCTTGACAAGGCAAATGTCAAAGCTACCTGCTAGCATGTATTGCCAAGAAATAGGGAGTAGCAACATATAGATGGACTGCAATTTATTGACAAAAGAAATTACTGAATGAAACAAAGCTAGCTTTCTCATGCCTTGTCACTTGTGATGGTACAATAATGAGATTGTGAGAATTAATAGAAAGCGAGAAGCTCGATAAAAAGGAGGTAGATGAATGAATGATGATTGATTGTGCAACATAAAGGAAATACCCATGTTTTATGTTGCCAAAGTATTTTTTGGTAGTAAAAATAAATTTTCATTAAAAGAAAACAAATCAAGTAGAATGCTGAGGAGATTTTACTACAGCCACCATAGCAAGAACACAATCCCAATCAAAATAACTTCTGCTAAGCCAACAAGAGGCATTAAAAAGCACCTGCTCCGTTAAACTAAACCCAGGGAAGACAACAGCCTTCCCTCAGAATCTTATCTTGATATGGATGTTGAGAAAACATTCTCAACACAAAGAAAAATCAGTGCTTAGAAAAAGGTTGAGATAGTTGTCTCTGCTTGATTCCAGGTGGTACTTATATGTTTAAAAAGGTCACCCACAAGTCATTCATGAAAAATTATAGCAGTATGAATAATCTGAAACTACATTATCTTTTGAAGTTAAGAATTTGAGGATGCACAATTATTTGGTGATGACATCTCTTTCAGGGACCTCATCCCTCATAGATTGGATTTATATGATGCTTCAGATGGTTTTTTGTCCAACAAATGTCAAACATGCATGGTGCATCTATAATTGATCAACTCTTGGTAACATAGTTGGTACTGATATATCCAGGTTATGTATTGCTAAGTTCCATTGATATCATACCATATGGCTTATGGTACAATGCCAGATGATACTGTAATGTTCTGCTTTGGGTAACTGTGCCCAACCCTAGGTAGCCTGACATAAGAAGCATCAAACAAAGGGGCAATGCTATCCAATTCCAAATCATGCTAAGTCATGTTTGGTTTGTTTAACTTGAGATTGCTAGCACTTGAGTTCTTTGATATGCAATTTGCTATTAGATTATGAATTAGTATAAAGTGCTTTTTCATTGTGAAAACTGTGTCTGATAGGGGAAAAATGCTGTGGAACTCTAGCCATGGCAGTGTTTTGGTCTGTACGATAGGAGAGATTCTCGAATTTTTGTAGTCAGGCAGGCATCTATAGAGACTAATCAAGAAATTTGAATGGAAACTCATATGGTGGGAGGGGGTGCCTAAGCTTTCTGAAGGAGTAAGGACATTTTAGAAATCAGTGGAGGTGCATTATATATGAATGACTATGTCACTAAGCCAGTAGTCTTTTATCATACATACAAAAAATATAGATGATATGAATGTACCGATTCTGTACAACTTTTTGAGGTGTCTTCTAACCTGGCCCTGGTCCACACATTTCAGGTTTCTTTTCTTCATTTCTCTTTCTATCTCCTTTTACATGTACGCTGTTGGATTTTTTTTCCCTTTTTTACACTTTAGGGGGAGGGGTGGAGGGGGGTTCTAATTGTATAAAGTGACTTTTTTTTGTCTTTTTGAAATTGAAAGTTTTACTTTGCAGACCAACAGGAACCGGATTTTACTGTTGTAGAGTTTGAATGTACTCTGACTAGAAATGTACCCAATACTTGTTGCTTTTCATGCTTCTTGAAAGTCATAAAGGTAGTTTTTGGTCAGTTAGGTTCTAAGAAAATAAAAGGCAAAAAAAAAAAAAAAGATTAAAATGGAAAGGGAAGAATTCGAATTTACTGCAGTTCTGATTATGCTTTATATTTGTTGTTTTTTTTCTTAGCATTCTAACATTTTTCCTTTCATCTGGCTGCTTTTCTAGGTAATGGAATTTGATGAAACGACTTGATCTTACTTGAAAGGTTTATTTTGTTAATGATTACTCAAGATAAACTGGAAATGAGGAAAAGATACAAAAGAAAGTGTAAATTCTGTGAATACCCCTGGTATAAAAAATTCATAAGATAAATGCTAGATTATGCATATGGATTGTAACGAGTACATGCTTTGCAACATCTCTCTCTCTCTCTCTCTCTAACACACACACACCTGACAGTCCTAACAGTTTCTGTAATTTAATTTTTATTTAGAGAAAGAAATGAAAATAGATGGTGTGAAGACCATATGGGCCCAGATACGGATTATGCTCTTGTTTGCCTTAAATTCTTTTATACGGTCTGTCATCTGAAACATTTTACCTTGTGTGGGAGAATTGGGTCCTGCATTCTTAAGCGTTGTTACCCATTTTATGGGAATTTTCATTTATTTATATGCAGAGATGGTAATTATTAATGCACGGCAGAAACATCTTGGGTTATTGTTGAAATTGGCATTCAAACGAAGGTGCTCTAGAATCTGGACATACCCTTTTAGGCACGGTAGCTTTTCTGCTAAACATGAGGTCAAATGTGCCATGGAAGCTGCCACATCAAAATTGCTTTGGTGATCTTGAAGGGTGCTTTAGAGAACGAAGGACGTTTTATTGCGATGATGTTGTTTCCTCATGAATGGCCCTTTAAGACGGGACTCGGGAGATGCATGAGAAACATCATTTTCCTTCCTTCCTGGGTAGCACTAGCACCAAGAAGGTCAGAACAAGATGGATTTGCGATCTTGAATTTGTCACTGTGAAACTTGATTGGAGGTGTCTACAATCTACATCCCATTTGGGCAACTACTCTTCGTTTGAAATCTCATAGTTTCCATTGCCCAAATCCCATGGTTGAAACTTGAAACATCAAAAATCACCTGAGGGCCTGAGGCCAGGGGAGAAAAATGAACAATATAATCCTGGTTCGACCCGTCTGAAGCGAGCTAACTTCTTGTAGGGACACCGGAGGCCGGAGGGCAGACGGAGTCCTTAGCAGCGCTCTATGCCTAACTCTGTAGAGGTTGACAGAAAGCAGTGAACTCCAGCCCTATAACCCTTTGTAGTTTGTATTGTGGGCTGATGCTCCATGTAGGGAAGTCTATGCCTCGTTTCATTGGGAGTACAGGCCATCCATTCTAGTTCTAACTTCTGAATTTGAATGGGCTTCCCATAGAGAGTTCTGCACAGGCACATGGGATGGGAGATGTTCCAAGTGCATGGGCTGATGTGCCTGTGGGGCTTGTGTGGAGAGCACATCCGAACTCCTAAGCTTTTAGCCTCAGAGGACAACTTTAGGTTTTAGTCAGCCGGATGGAAAAACTTTTCCTTGAGAATATTGTCAATCGTCGACGAGCCAGTTAGCCAACGGGCGAGGCTGCATCCTGCATCTAGCAAATGTAAATCATATCACTCTAGCTTTTAGCATTTGGCACTCTCTGAGGGTTGAGTCATCCAATGCAAGACCACGATATTTTGCTTCTTGTGGACAAACCTGTTGTCACACTCACAAAGGTATGACAAGCGGCAAATTTGCCTTGACGTTCTCAGACGTGAGGGGACCTCATTTGTTTTTCTAAATAGATAGATAGATAGATCATAGATAGATATATCTTAGAAAAATAGTCTCTTCACATAGCTACATAATTACATTATAGAACAAACCAGTGCTTTCCCTGTGGATGGAAACCCAAGTCCAGGCACCACATCACATCAAACATGGTTGGACGTTTGAATTTGATTGTTTCATTCGCCATGCTCACCTGCAATTTCAGCGAACACATTGACTCTTAAAGGAAACAAGCATAATTAGACCTTAAAACCAAATCAGGAAGCAAATCCATAATACCATGACCGTATCACTTTTTGTAGTCCACTCACCAAGTCCGAGATGATCGCCACTTCCCTCTTCAATAATAGTAGCAGATAAGAAAGAAACATGGAATAAGAATAGCAATGACACCATCCAGAATTCTAAGTGACGATTTGGACGGAGCAGAACAAGAAGATGATTGGGGTGAATTCGTGTGCACCATCGGATTGTGTCCCGCAGGATTATTTCTACTATCGGATAACTTGAAGATCGGCCGTCGTGCCCCCGTTACTCTGAATATACACAATATAATCTTTGTACAAACTGGGTATGCTATACAAAAGACAGGCGGAGAACAGATCTTTCCCAAACTGGGTATGCTATACAAAAGACAGGTGGAGTTGGGAACACTGAAAGAGGTAAGGCGGAGTGCATCCCAACCAATAAACGAGTCCATTCCATATGTGCAGCCTAGTCAGGACATCAGGCCAGAGAGACATGAATCAAACTTGGAGCCTTACCTAAGGATTCACGCAAAGGGAAAGAGAAGTGAAGCTTCTTTGACTGTAGAGGGTGAGGAAGTATTGGTTGTACCTAGTCCGCTTCCATAGCTGAGTCCGGAAAAGGGGAAGGGCCTAGTCCTAACTCCAAGAATTGATACCCAGCAGCCGGTTCACATGCAACCATCTATGCTAATTCCAGGTAAGCCTGCCCATTTGGTTTTAGATACTAACTTGGGTTCTCTGCCTGTAACAGATGTCTTGGAATCCTAACCAGACCAACCAACTGGTAATAGGGAAGTGGCTATTGATAATGATTGAGTCCGATCAGAGAAGAGAGTTGGGTTGTTAAAAAGGAAACAAGAGGAGTTAGAATGGATTTGGGAGTAGATTTGTGCCCTGTTGGAGGAATATAAACAGAAGGAGGAAATGATAGAGGTGGCTCTAAAAAACCCTGAATCAGAGGCAAGAACCAATAGATTGGGGCAGGAATTAGGAAATAAAGGGTAGAATATGAAGTCAGTGGGAAACAAGGGTAGGAAAAAGAAATAGTCTGAAGTAGAGAAACTAATAATGGACATCAAAGGGGATATCAAGTTCAGTGGTAGAGGGGAAAGAAAGAAGGGTTCTAAATGAAGGAACACTTTATTGGAGGGCTAAATTTTTGAGATGTAATGAAAATAATAAGCTGGAATGTAAGGGGTTTGGGTAGTGCTAGAAAAAAGAGATCGATTAAGGAGCCACTTAGAAGAGAAAGACCTGATGTTGTGATGTTGCAGGAGACAAAATTAGCTGAACTGGATAGAAGGTGGGTCAGGGAGATCTGGAAAATAAGAGGGGTAAGATGGTGCTCAGCTCCGTCGTGGGGAGCCTCGGGGGGAATAATAACTTTGTGGAGGGAGGACTTCGGAGAACCAGTAGAGGAGCTAATAGGAAACTTCACTGTATCCCTGAAATTCAGAATGGTGGAAGATGGATTTACTTGGGTGCTAACAAATGTGTATGGTCCAAATAATCACAGAGAGAGGAATGAGTTCTAGGAGGAGCTTCATGGGATTCAAGGTTTGTGGGAAGGTCCTTAGTGTTTGGGGGGTGATTTTAATGCAATAAGATTCACAAATGAGTCAAATAATCCTAGGCAAGCCATTACAAGTAGTATGAGGAAGTTCAATGAATTCATAAATTCCTGTGAGTTATGGGAGCTTCCTCTATTACAAGCTACCTACACTTGGTCCAACTTCYAAGAAAACCCAATCTGCTCAAAGCTTGACAGGTTCCTATTTAATGAGGGTTGGGAGAGCCACTGGAGAGGTTTGGTGGCTAAGGC